GGGGGGGAGAGTGCCAGCCGCCACCAGGGCCGCGGGGTCACGCCGCGCCCGCCGCGACCATCCCCGCCGTCCCGCGTCCGGCAGCCTTTTGGTTCGAAACCCCGCTGTTTTGTTCACTTTGGCATCAATTTTTCCAACACCCTTTTTGACCTGCACTTCCCTCCCCTCCCTTCCAGCCCAGCGCTGGGCGGGAGGGACAGTCAAGTCTAAACAAACCGGAGCTCGTCGTGAGGAATGTGCGCGGGGCATGCTCTGCTCTGTCCCCGGGGCCGGGGGGGGGGGGGCATCCTGATGGAGCTGATAGACGTGATACTCCCGTCGCGACGCGCGTCTCCCCGACATCCGACTTGGCTTCCCTTTCCCCTCCAGAGCCCTACCACCACCAGCTAATGCGCAGTGTGGTTATGGGTCGGCCCGGTAGGCAGCTGACGGACGGGTCCGCGAACACTAAACAACCCATCCTGTCAACGCGATATGTTGGAACCAAATCCGACACATGAACCCCTTCCGATCTAGTCACGTCGTGCTATATGTAGCAAGATATGTAGTGTACATCTGGATACGTCCAACACCCGACTAACGCCTGTTCCGTTTGTTTTGTTCCAGTTCGCTGCTGAAGAAGCCATGCTGTTGCACCTGGCTGCCTACACCGCGCCCAGGGATGAAGAAGGACTCACCCTGGCCAACAACTCGCTCGTCCTCCGCAGCTCCCTGTCCACTGCAACAACGTCGTCATTGTCCCGGTCGCTGTGATGTGCATGTGGGCTTTCCGTGGTTTGGACTGGTGGCCCACACTCACAACACTTGCGGCCGGGGTGACTCTCTTCAGCTCGTCATCAGCCATCTCACCTCCCGCCCGCGATCTCCAGCGGGGCAGCTCCAGGAACTACGGGAGACGGAGTCGGACGGTGTGATGTGCATGTGGGCTTTCCGTGTTGTTTGTTCGGTGGCCCACAGTCACAGCACTGACGGACGAACTCTGTCAAGGCGACACGCAGCTAAGAGCCCCCCCCCCCCCCTCCATTTCTATTGTCGCAGCCAGCCACCGTATGTTCACAGGTGTTCGGTGTTCCGGTCATCACATGTTGCATGCTACTTGATAAAAATAAAGTCGACTGATTCAAAACCACAATCAAACTTTTTCATCCTTCTCATCTCTTGAGGCCTGGTGACGTTGAGGTAATGGACAGAGATTTTGGCTTACTGAGACATGACAAATTTATTAGGAAGTAAAAACTATGCAAGTATAATACCCAGAACTAGTTTGTACTCAATGTGATTTTCTGCACAAAATTTGATTTAAATACACAAACACAACTTGAGCAACCATTGTACAACAACTTAGGCATAACAGTTTAAGGTTGGAAGTTTGGTAAAGAAAAAATAAAATAAGATTACAAACAATATTTTTTGAGGAAGCATAATTGGGGTATAAAATCAACATAACATATTAGCTAAACCATGTGGTATTGAGGTATGTATCCACACTAATTGAATTAACCATCCTTGCAAATTAAATTTATAAATTGAGAAAGGTACTGAATTTAATTTAAATGCAATTAACCATGAACTGTATGATAGCAAACAAGAAGCATCTAGTCTTACCCACAATGAGTACTAACATGAAATCTACAAATTAGAAGAAATAACAAGAGGACAGTGATTGTTAGGAGAACAATCAAAAATACTTGAACGCAGTCACCATAAGTTCTGACAGTACCATACAAAATAAAATCTATTCTATTGTGATAACTGTTTTTACATGAAGTTAGAAAGTAACATAATTAATCTGAAACAATTCTGTATGTAACTCAACAGCACACATACCAGATAAAAGGAATTCTTACAGAAAATTTACCTCAAGTTACGTCCTATTTACATACATATTCCTACGGCAATTCTAAAATTTAAAGGTACATATTACCAGCTCAAAAAATAATTTGAAATCACAACATTTAAATTCATGACTGTAGTGCTACACACAAAAATCATTGTTAAAAATGACAAACTGGCTGTTCAGAAGTCAAAAACACATTTTCTCCAAAAAGTACAAAAGTTTGACTAAACAAGAGGCCAGATGTCTAAAGAATTCTTATTTCTTATTTCACACCTGTTTAACACCTAATTTTAAAGTACATTCATAATTGTCTATATTGCCCACTCACCTCCATTTAAATGGAGATGAAAGTATTAACTTATCACAGAAGATCCCTAAGCTGATTTTACTTCTACATTAAAAGGTGGTTCATAGAAGGCAGAACAATGCACATGTATCCAAAGACTGATACATTTGTTGCATTGACGGGCTGATTGAAATATTATGAGCTGACATCCATGTCACTTTGCTCTTGTGAAACTCCTTGACGATCTACTGAGTCAGAAGCTGTAGCCCGCTTTATGCCAATAGATGAGTCTTTGTCAATAGTATCTTGATTACTTCTATTGCTCTTGCTCCCAATGGGAGAGTTAGTTGTTTCCACACTGAAAAAAATAACATTTTGAGTTACAAAAAATTATAATAATTAAACAGCACAATTTTATTTTAAAACATTGTTGTAAAAATTAAAGGCTAACTAGCCTTTTAGAAATGAACATCATTATAAAGTGCTTACGTTGAAGTTAGACGAGTTGCTTTGGACTGCTGAACCACTTGAAGCCAATTAGGCACATTAGACATTCTGTAAACAACAATGACCACAAATTGAACATTAAAAAACCCAAAAAAACTACAGTAGCAAAATCTGCAAGCATTCAGCTTACACCAAGAACGGAAAATAAAAAACAAACATAAGAAAACTTCAAATAGAAGTGAGCTTTGGCGAAGCAAGGAGAACAAATCCGGAGGTGTAAACTGGTACCTATAATTTTATTTATTTTTCTTCAAAAACCTACACTGGTTCAGGAGTATATCTGCTCCAAGACAGAGATGTCTTGGAAGCTGAGGGTAAAGCAAATAGACTTCTTTCAGTAAAGCTGTTTCCTGATGTGTTTGAGCTTGTCAAGTCAATACGGAGGCTAGTGGGTGGTGATGACGTGAGACGTTGGGTTTTAGCTGCACCTCTACTTCTCAAGAGATTCAAGTCAAACTTGACGTTTTCTGTATAAAGTATAGTGATAAAAGTATGAAACATTAACAACATAAACAACCATGAACATTCACTATTAAGGGGTTTAAAAAGTATACCAACCTTTACTTATTGGTCCTAGTTTTTCTGCAGTTTGAAAAAGCACGTCTGTTTCCCAAAAATGAGGCACACGTGGAAATAGTTTCCCTGCATCGCCAGCTAGATGAAGTCCAAGTTTGTGCAAGAGCAGAATAAATGCAGGACAATGTAGACATTGCTCTTGCTCAACATACCATGGAACAAGAGGTGTGCTCTGACATAATCCTGGTGGTATGGGAAAAACAAAACAAAAAATCAGAAAAAACATAAAACATGGATATGTTAATTTTTTATTTTAAGTACAGCGAGAAGCCAAAATTTAGAGTTACTAAGAACCTAAGCCGAAATAAACTGAAAGCCTCCAAAATTAGGAAGTGCAAGTGGCGGCTCTAACTGAGAACTTAATCAATACAAACACTACAACTACATTCTAAATCAGCATCAAGAATACACAATGAATAACTGAGCAAAAGTCACTACACAAAATCTTCACTGCGCTGAAAGAGCTATGTATTTGGGCCCATTACTACATTGCTTTCAAAGAGAGAACAAAAATAAAATTTTGAGAAATGGCTTGGAGGTTTTTGGAAGCAGTGAAACTAATAGGAAATAACTGTAAGTAAGGAGGAGTAGCAAGCAGAGACTAACATGGTGGCATACCCACTGAAGACAATTCTTTCCTCAAAGATAAAGGCTGAAAATAACTTACGGGTGTATATGTGGGCAATAGGCTCCTTCACAATTGGGAGATCTCTTTCCAGTGATATTTTTACGTAGCACACCTCTAGAAGCTGTTCTTGCAACCATTGAATCATTTTGCCATGGCCTTCACTCTCCAGTTGATCTACAAGATACAAAATGGGCATTAAAGAAAATGTTAGATTGGAAATTATTATGATAAACAAGGTAATGCCAGTAATATGTGATAGTGAATTTCACCTTTAAGAACTTTGATATCATTTGCTGGTTCAAAATCCTCCTCCATACTTTCTCCCTCATTCTGGTCAAATTGTTCTTCAGTTTCTCCTCTGGCTGCATTCTCCAACTTTGCTGATTTCTGTGTTGAATATACAGAGGAATGTTGCTTTTCACTAATGGCAAGCTTTCCGGCAAGGGTGAAGAAGCTATGTGTTATGAGACCCATTTAATTGATACTGAAAGCTATTTTTAAAGCATCATACGAGAGAAAAGAAGGAAGGTGATAATCCTATTCTAGGTACATATCCTCTCAGAAATTTAAGTATTGATAGAAAAGATTGAAAATCTGATCATGGAACTACAATCAGTATTAAGAAATATTTCAAACATTGATCGATTTAAAGATTTGAAAATATTTTCCCCAAAACCCTCGAGACTCACCAAGGTTTCTCTTTCCATGTAGGAACCATATTGATGCTCATTAATGACATCTTGTTGAAGTAATTGTTGAATAACCTAGAATTACAGGAATAATTTAACATTGCATAGCAGAAAAAAAGGAAATAAACTTTGACTAAACTTTTATACTTACAGATATTCTTGTCTTATCATGCACTCCATTGTTTTCATACATGTTCATGATCGCCTCAATCGGGTCTTCACAGCCACTGCACTGCTGGTGATACCAGTAAAGATTATTTGAATCTTCCTTCGTCCACCTTTAATTAAGATCAAAAAGATACAAATAAGTTGACAAGTTAACCAAGCCCTCATTTAACTATATAATCATTTTGGAGAGTATCTTACTCAGTTTTATTGCCTTCAGATATAGGACTGATTTGCCGGCCCTCAGAGTGCTTAGATGTTGTGCTCACTTTACTACAAGATGGATTTTTAACAAATTTATGCAGAACATATTCAATAAGATCAGACCAGTCCTAAGAAAAACACATAAGCATAACAGATTAATATACTTGAGTAAAAAGTGATCAACAGAATCTCATTATAAATAAATTTAATTCTTGCTTACATCACACAATTCACAGTCACTTTCCCAAATCCCAGAGAGAGATCGCAGTATTAACGGTTGAAAAAGAACTGAAACTTGGGACAAGTCACCAGCTACATGATGCATCATAGTTAAGATACAGTCATTAACAAATTCTCCATTGTTCAAAAAATCTTCAAGAAGAAGACCGTAATTATGCATCACTTCAACAGTGCCAAATCTTTAAAAAAACACACAGACACAAAAATGTAAATTACAAATTGGAAAAAGACAAAAAGATTTACATTTACTTGCTGAATAGAAATAGACTTACTGTTTGATGTGCTCAACAAGATTGAAATTTGCATGATATTCAGGCAATTTAATAGTATTTTCCACAAACATCAGAAGATTGTGGTTGGTTACAACAAGATCTTGCAGAAATTGTTGACTCTGAAGAGATGGGTTATAGTGTCGGAGTAGAAGGACAAACAGGCCCCTTAAATCGTGCACCTCGGCAATTTGTACTGGTGGAGAAAAAAGTTATACATTACAAAATGCTGTATGATGATAGTTTATGACAACTGAAACATAATAGAGAATTAGATACTTTATGGCACTTACGTTGTAATTTCAGAAGATGACTGCGATCCTCTTCAGTTAAGTGAGAAATTTTACTATATGCCTCTACAGCTTGAATAAATTCTCTAATGGAAGTGACAACCTAGAGCAAGCATTCAAAAAATTATCACACAAATTCCATGGAATAGGCACATAATTTTTTCAGTATACCAGTAAGAGGTCAGGAATACCTACCAAATGCATTCTTCTAAGACAAGGCTTTAGATCTCTTCCAGAACACTGTATACTCATTTGGAGTTCTTCATATAAATTAACTCCTTCGTAAGTCAAATACGAAACTATGTCAATTGTCAACACAGAGCTACTGGAATATTTTGAAGAAAAGAAAAAAAAAACATGAGAGATTTTGCATAGATTATAGTCTTAAAGAATGATAGAGGCTTTCACATCCAAGATAAAAAGAAAGACTGACTTCACAAACCTTATGTGTTCCAGATCAAGTTCAAGTTGAGTGGCAAACTTCAAAAAGTATGTCACCAACCAAAAAAAGTGACTGGTATCCATTTGAACTGACCCTCCATCCAGAAGACAGTTATGAAGGACTTTTACAAGACAGGCATATCCCCGAAGAAGAAAATCAACAGTGAACTCTTTAAGTAGATTAGAAATATCTTCATCACTTGGAACATGATGAAGGAGAGCCTTCATGTGCATACTGCAGTAAAAAAGCAATTATAGATTAAAAATCACACAAAAATTACAAATATTCTTTAAAAATATAGATATACTTTACGTTTTAGTGTGGCTCCTCTTAACAAGTTTCTTCCTATGAAGTTCTTTCCGTTCCTGGGGTGTTATGTTAGGTTTTCCATTAGTATATCGGCTCTTTTGTAGCATATGCTGAGGTTTTTGATGTTTCACACAGCTAAAAAAAGAGTTTCAAAAGAAAAAAATTCATAAATAATGAGAAATAAAAGTGATACAATAATAATAATCTAATCAGACAGAAATTATAGGGAAACCAACCGTTGAGGGGCATCTTCTTCATTACTTGATGTGGAGTTTGATTCTTGATTTTCCTGCTGTGTACCATAGCCACAGTCTGAGACTTCACTTCCTGTTTCTCCTTTCTTTCCTTGAGTTTTCGTCTGGTTTGCTCCAGTATGGTTTGGACCGTGAAGTTGGTGAAGTTTTGGATGAGTGTCTTTGTGTTTACCTTCTTGAGATTTACCATATGAATCCTGTGAATGGTTATGATGCTTCCCATGCCCAAATGTTTCATGAGGCTGGCCTTGAGTGTGAGTTGGTTTGACCATAGAATGTCTTGACCATGTTCCTGAATGGCCAGCAGAGGATGACAGCGAATCCTTGATAAGACATAAAATAAGAAAACAATAAGACTGAACCTACAATATCTACTTTATATGAGTCTCCACAGGAAATAAATGTACCTCTACAAAACCGCTTTCAGTGTCAGTATGCTTTTCTATTCTGCGATTGCGTATTTGAAGTTCAGACAAACCTGTGATAGGATATTAGTTGATTAATCAGGCAACAAAGGCAACGAATATTACTGAGAGAATAAGAAAAAAATTATTATTCTTACTTTTTACTCTGATTTTACCCATTGGAGGATGCGCAATAAGTCTAGCCTGTGGCTAAAAAGATGTGTCAATTAGCAACAACAAAAACAAACGGAGGGTATGAAATATGTGTGCTATAAGCAGCAACCTTCTGAGAATGTGATTTACCTGGCTTTGATGATTACTGTCCATAGAATCTCCCTGGCTCGTTGAAGCAAGGGCATCTGGAGCAGGAGATGCTGACATTGCAGTCTCACTACTCTGGCTGTCATCTGATTCATTGTTCATACATTTGCTATCTCCTGCCTGGTAAGGATTTCTCTTTTTGTTACTACCACCATTGTCGGATGAGTCAGAAGTTGGGTCAGATGTCATCAATGATGATGAATCACCAGATGCTTGGTGCTGCAATCACAATTACGTATATTAATAAAAAGAGTGAATGATATAGAAGCACAATGGTTGGGTTATTAGACCACAACTTACCTGAGGAGATGTATTACTCTCATTTCCCTCACTACTATCACTTAAAGAAGACTCAAACCAAAGATTAAGAAGTTTCTGCAAAGTTCCAACTTGTTGATCTTTGTACATTAGCGCTATCAATTGCACCATCGTCACTCCCCAGTATGCCTGTTAACATTGACAATAGTAAAATGAAAAGGTCTGCTGCTCTTCAGAGAAAAAATATTTGATTGGTAACGGATATATACCTGATACTTGCTGGTCATAAGTTGAATGAGAACTTTGTCAACATTTTGGGCAAAAAGATTCCAAAGTATTTGATTTTGCATGGAAACAATAGCACTGCCAGGTCGGTGTTCAGGGATATGTAAAATATTTCGGAGCAAAAGAAGACAGTTACTAATGCTTTCACAATCTTCCTGAGTCAACTTTGTTTCCTGCCAGAAAAAATTGATTAAATTGACAAACAATGTAAAACTCATGCAAAACACAAATCTGAATTAAGGACTTACCTTCTCAAGAATTGTTTTGATATGGTCTACTACTGGACGAGTACTTTGAGGAGACACAAAAGCCTCTTTGCTGGTTGACAAGAGCATGTTAAGCTCCATTACTGTATAGCGCCCCACATCAGTCTTCAGCATTACCTCCATCGGCAACAGGCACTCCACAGGAACCGTCAGATTGAGCAGGATTCTAAAAATATGAAAATTTGAAAGTGATTAATCAATCTCTTCACAAATGGTACCATCTTTTATTTGTGTCACAGACAGAACAAATCACATACTTGATGGTGACGTCGACAATCTTTGCGTCATCCCTGACACCGACCAAGAGAGGAAGCAAATCCTGAAAGCAGAAATCAGATCACTTACTATTAAAGGGTACAATAAGAAGACGAAACAATGGACTGAACAGCATTTCAGAATGGCATTCCTGTTATATCCAAAGACAAAGCATGACTTGAGTCAGATGGAGAATATGGCAGTGACTATGCAAATGCACATTTGTGGGAATTGCAGTAACAAATAACATGCCAATTTCAATTAACACTCCAAAAAGTAACCTAGTGAGGACATAAAAACATAAGCCCAATCACCAGACATAAATATAGGTAACATTGAGAATTGATAACAGTTTAAAAGTCATTTCATTAATTTTAAAAACTGCAACCAACTGCTGTTAAAATTACCGCACAAATTTTGCCAACACCAATTTCCAAGCAGCATCACTAGCGGGTTAAAGTACATGGAAGCAATGTGCTAAAATGCAGAAGTTAATCTAGAAAGACTACACAAGCATACTATGACTCAAAATGAACAAAAATCTGTTTTTTTACATTCAAAGCCATGCAAAAAATAAGAAATCTAGACGTCAGAAGTAGTTTTTTGTTAACTAAAAACAAAGAGGATATTACTTTATTGTGTGCTGTAGGCTGTGTTAAACACAAAAGTAATAGTCTTCTAAGCATAAATATTTTGTTGTGGTTTGGTTCTACATAATTAAGTACTTTCAAAATGACTGATTAACACAAGTTTTTTACTTTCAGTGGGGCTAATCTTACACCCCTAAAGTAAAGACAAACACAAAGATTAGGAAAGAGGCCAGTATCTAGTATCTGGATGCATTCCAACTCTACAAATTATGAAAATAAATCTGTTTTGTGCCAGACAACATGGTTAATTTATTTACTATAACAAAACAGCATTGTTCCTTTACAAATTTAATTTAAAGGTTTAAGTAATTTCTCAGACTAAATAAAAGTCTCAAATGGCATTACTTTTTGGCCCACACAAATTATCATGTAACTGCATCAACCACTTTTTACATCAATATCAATACATCATCAAGTTCAACTGTTTCTGATATTTTGGCGCACTACAAACGAGCATTTTCTGATTTCCTATGTCTTTGTTTTCATATAGTACGCTTTCAAGAAAAAAGTGTCAAAAAGATAATGCCACCATTTTAAAATGATATGAATTTTATATGGGTGAATTAAAAGCGGATCTAAGCTTATCATAACTGCTGCTATCACAGATATTTCAAGCAAAAATAATTTGTGCCTGCCCGGTGACCAACTTTTAGCCTCTCTGATCTCGCCAGTCCATCGTGCTCCACACAATACCTGAAGGGTCGCCATACTTATCTGTAGCATTCCCTTTGGATAGCGCAAGAAGTCAACACTACACCTGAAATAAAATACATCACAAGAATATCTTTTATGCATCTCTCACAATTTGAGAAGGTACATACAAGAGTTGATGTAAATGACAGGAAATAAACTGATGAGTTCTTACGGCAATATGCCACTATATGGTGGAGCATACAAAGTCCCAACAGAAACACACTTGAGATGCATGTAAGCTTGATGAAGTAAAATGTTTGTCAGAATAAAATGAAACAAAGCATTTGCATGAATTATAACATTTACTGGAAACTAATATTACTGAGAGAAATTTCCTATACTAATGACAAATTACAATAGGGACTTTTTTTTACCTGTATTTGTGTACAGAACCCCATTAGAGAAACAATGGCTATTTATTTAAATTAAAACAAAAACAAAACAAAAACGCTGCCACAGCAACGAATATTATCAACTTCTTACCTGCAACGAAACACTTGACCATAACTGATCCATATGTCTCGAGCAAGCAATGGGACACAAACCTTCTTAACAACTTGGGCGAATCCAATGGCTCTGCGATATGTCCTTAGGGTCCGGTCCTCTATCGTAAGCTTCGCCAAAATGTCGCATAATGTAGCTGCAAAATACGAAATTTGAACCGTTTTATTCACTAATACAATAAACCAGAGGTCAAGCAGACTTATAATACTCATATTTCTCAAGGGGCATAGTCCTTACCAAGGCAGTCTTCGTTGACGAGGTACGTGTCTCCTATTTGGGCGCCGAGTTGCGCAAAGGTCCCGTGGAATTGGGGATTTACTGCTAACCAGTCCATGGCGCTTGTCTACAAAATGTATTATTTCTAATTAAAGAAAATCGGTGATGACGGTGACGTGAACAATCATTGCAGATCTGCACAACACTGTACCTTTCTGGGTCATCGGTTGTGGGCTGAAAGGTGCGCAGTTGGCAAGGAACAACTCGTACGAACAAAACGGCCGCGTCCCAAAACCTGCAACAACAACGAAAATCGTCATTAAACAATGTGAACGTTGATTCGGTATCCGTTCGACGTCGACATCAAAATTGAATCGATATTGGCAGGTCGCAAAATACAACGCAAGTTGACGTCAAATTGGCATTGACGTCGATGGATTTCTCACTGGGGGGGGCGGAGGGAGGGCCGCAGAGGGAAGACCTACTACTCACTTCCGAGGGGTGAACAACTCAGCTGAGACGCGGACAGAGGAATATATTACAAGGTAATATATGTAATACAGGATATACTGGTAATATCAATGTATTATAGTATTACAAGGTATTACAAGTATTACAAGGTAATACAAGGTAATACAAAGTAATACTTCATGTTATAACAGGCATTACGAGGTAATACAAGTAAACAGAGGGTTACAAGAATTCAAATAATATAAGTATTACAAAGTAATATAGAGTATTACAAGTAATATAAGGTATTACAAGTAATACAGGGTAATACAGGGAATACAAGGTATTACAAGAAATACATGATATTACAAGGAATATATGGTACTACAGAGTAATATAAGGTATTACAGGGAAAAAATTCTTGTAATACCATGTAATACAAGGTAATACAAAGTAATACATGGAATACATGGTAATATAGGTAATATCAGGTAATACAAGCCTCGGGGACAGAGGAATACACCAGTTGTTCACCCCTCG